CCAGGGCCTCTCGTCCTTGTCTGGGTTCCTGGTGGACGGGGACAAGCGGGTGGGCGCGGGTCATGGCCCCTCAGAGGCAAGGGGAGGAGATGGGGACGCCTGCTGGGGGGGTTCCTGACCCGCCCAGCAGCTTCTGCTCCTGCAGCAGGTTCTGAGCTCCAGCCCCAGGCCCCGCTCCCTGGGCGGCCTCCCGAGCAGAGGGGCCAGGGCCGTGGGGACAGTGCTGACCGGCAGTAGGCGTGGGGGCCCAGACCCAGGAGGGCCGCGGCGCCCACGGAGTCCACGTGCAGCTCCTGGTAGAGCAGGTCGGAGTTCCAGGCCAGGCAGCTGAGGCCCGAGGCCGCCGTGCTGGCCACGCCTCGATATTCTGTGCCCGTCCCCACGAAGCAGCGCTGAGCAGGCACTGTGGGCAGCGGGAGTGCGGTGAGCCTGGGCCGTGGGCCGCGGGGCCCGCCCTGCTCCGAGGCTGGGCGACTCACCGATGTTGCAGAGCCGACCGGCGTAGTCTGGGGGGCAGGCGCACACGGTGGTGCCAGTGGCCACGATCAGGTGGCAGGAGCCCCCGTTCAGGCACGGGCTACTCAGGCAAGCTGCGGGGGAGCACTCGGGAGCTAGGCCTCGGCCCCAAGCCGGGGGCGAGGGGGCGGGTGTCAGGGCCTGGTTCCTGCCCCGGTGCCCCTCTCTGGGTGGCCCTGGGAAGTCCCTTTCCCCGAGGGCAGGCTCAGTGACGTGGCCCGCCCCGCCGGGCTGCGCCCTTGAGTACCTGTGTGGCGGGTCCCCTCGCAGCGGACCTGGCCCCCCGCGCACTCGCACTGTTCCACGCGGCCCTGGTGCACGCGGGCCCAGCGATCGCCTGGCTCCAGGTACTCGTAGCGGCTCTCATCAAAGCACTTCTCTGGGGAGGGTTGGGGGGCCACAGTGAGCTGCTGCTCCCCGCCCGTGGCCGGTGCCCCGCCGCCCCGCCGCCCCGCTCACCTGTGCCGCAGTCCTGGCCGGTGAAGGCCGCAGGGCAGGTGCAGTGGTACGACTCGGGGTCTTGCGTGCTGGAGCATGAGCCCCCGTGGAGGCAGGGGCCAGAGGCACAGGGGTCCCGGGGGGCTGGGCACACACGGGAGGGAGGGGGGTGTCTGAGAGCGCCGCAGGCTTCAGGCCCCCGACCCGCACCGCGATGCTCCCTGCTTGCCAAGGGCCTGCCGCCTTCAAGATACCCCTTCTAAGGCTCCTCGGGGCGTGTGTGCCCTGCAGGCCTCCACCCTCCCCACCCTTGCCTAGCTCTCAGACCCCAGGCAGGTGGGCCTCTGACTCCACATCCAACACCCTGAAAGCCGGACCCGCCGCAGGCAGCACAGGCCCCTGGAGCGCCCCGGCCCCAGGAGCACGTCTCCCGGTCTGCGGCCCTGTGCGGGGACCCCTCGAGCCCTGTGGGGCTGAGCCTGACCAGCAGGGGGCGGCGTGGCCCCAGCAATAGCCAGAGCAGCTCTGTGGCCCCCAGAGACGGCAGGACCCCGCCTTGTGGGTGGGCGGGTGATGCCCACTCCCCACTCCTCCAGCCCCCAGGCCTGCAGTGGGATGAGCCGCAGACAGGACAGGACCCCCACCACAGCTCAGCTCTGACGCCCCCAGGAGATCACCCCCACCCCGGCTCCAGACACCTGGGCACCCACCTGGGCGCCCCTGGGGAGCGGGGTCCTGCACACAGTAGCCCCAGGCCCGGTCCCGGTCGTAGTTGTGGGTCGTGGCACACCTGGGGGTGAGGTGTGCGCTGATGGGGGGGGCGCCCACAGACCAGCTCGGTGTGACCCCGACTCCCTGCAGGGCTCCCTGGAGTGCTCTCCCGCTCAGGCCCTCGTTCGTCCACTCCACCTGCTGCATGCCAGCCTCAGGCTGGAGTCGGGAGGGCAGAGGGCAGAGGGTGGGAGGGCCTCCAGGGTGGACATGGGGGCGCGGGGACCCACCACTTCCTGTGGGCGCTTCCCTCTGCGGTGCAGGAGTGCAGCATGCGGCCGCCATAGCGGAAGGGGAACCTGCAGGGCTGCCCGGCCTCGGTGAGCACTGTAGGGGTGGCGGGGGTGGGGGGAGGGAACGGTGGTCAAGGGTTCCCGCGCCGGATGCCTTCCGACCACCATCACCCTCCCCACTCCACCCCCTAGCGCTGCGGCGGTCCTCCCAGACCGCCGTCTGGACCGCTGCCTCCTCCAAGAAGCTCTCCTAACGCACCTGTGCCCCCAGGGCTGTTGGAGGGGGCTCCCCTGGGCAGGGGGGTGAGCCCGCCACCAGGGGGCCCCTCTGCCTGGAGTGCTCCCGCGGCTGCAGTGCTGGGGGTCGCCGACGTTACAGGGGTCACAGGAGTCACTGTGGCCTTGTGTTCTGGGGGCTCCCTTTGGCTCTGGGAAGGACCGAGAGGGCTGTGATGGGGGGTGTGGGGCGGGCCCCTCACACAAGGACCTGCCTCCGTTTGCATGTCGGCGTCCTGAGGCCTCGGAGTGGGGACCAGGGGACACCGGCTGCAGCTGAACACTGTCCCTCCCCGCCCGCCCAGTCCAAGGAGCCGGGACAGCAGCACCACTGCCATCCGGGCTTGAATCCTGGGGTTGGGGTCGGACGAGAGCAGCTGTGTGGCCTTTGGAGCACCCCCACCAACCTCAGACACGTGGACCCAACAGAGGCCCAGAGGGCAGGGACCAGCCCCCGAGCAGGGAACCAGCAAGTTGGAGCCCCGGCGTTCTGTCCCCCAGGCCAGCCCAGCACGCCTACCTCGGCGCCGAAGTTCCGCTGTCCCCACGTTGGGCCCCTCACCCCGTCCACACCCTGCCCTGGCTTCGCCCCAGGACCCGGAATGGGCCCAGGGTAGCCCGTGGTCACAGTGCTGGGGTCAGTGCTCACCCTGGCAGCCTGGGTCTGTGCCCCGCGAGGCAGCAGCAGCAGCAGCAGCAGCAGCAGGGCCGACCCGGGCGAGGGGCAGGGGCTGGCGACCCGGGCCCAGCGCCCCATGGCTCCTCCTGGGCTGGCGTGAGGAGCAGCGGGACGCGGGAGCAGGGTGACGGTCAAGGCCGCCTGCAAATGATTAACCCTGGCTGCCTCCCATGCCGGGAGGCCCGTACATCTGCCGTATCTGCCGCCCGGCTCACCCTGCCTAGGCCAGTGGTCCCCTCTCGACTCCGCCATGCTGTTCCTGGACCTGACCGCGTCCTCCAGGCTCGGCACAGACGCCTCCTCCAGGAAGTCTTCCAGGATGACGTGGAAGGAAGGGGCCTGGGCCCCCCAATCCCAGCTTCCGGTCCCCACCCAGCCAGAGGGCTGGCCACTGTGTACTTATGAGCTGTACCAAGCAGAGCAGCTGTACGTGCTGGGCCCTTTGGTGCGGCCCCATGGCCACCAGAAGGCCCGGCGCAGAGGAGCGTGTGCGCACTGGGTTGAGAGTTGAGGACAAGGCCCCGGACAGGGACCTCCGCCGCCATCCTCCACAGCACTTCCGTCTGTCCCTTCCCAGGGAGAGCCTGGGGTGGGGCCTCCCGTGCGAGGGGAGCAGGGAGGAGGCCTGCCCCCAGCACCCCGCCCCCACAGCTCCTGGACCCACAGGCCTCCAGAAGCCCAGGACCAGGACCACCCAAGACCACCCAGGACCACCCGTGCCGTCCCGCCTCCCCCCTCCCGAGCCCCTGGCCAGGCACGCGGGCCCACAGAGAACCCAGCTTGGGGCCCTGCCCTGGTCTGGGGGCACTTTGCTCCCTGACCCATGAACGAGGACAGGGTGTTGCCCCCCCGACACGGCTGGAGTCGTCGCCCCAGCCGGCCTGTGGTTTGTGACTGCAGCCACGGGCAGAGCTGCTCCGGGACCCGCTTCGGCAGTTTGAGGGGGTCAGAGGCCAGGAGACCCCGATCCCCGTGAGTCAGCTCAACTGCTGACACGGGGCGGAGGGAAGGGCTGCCCCAGAGGGTTGGCCTGGCACTGCAGCCGCCTCACTGTGCACCCCCAAATTGCCCTCTCTGGGCCCCCATTTGCCCTCTGTGCAGAGAGAGGGAGCGCAGAAACGGGGGCACCCAGCTTGGCAGGCAGTAGGCGCCGGGCCTTCTTCCATGCAGGCACTCTCAGGCCCAGCTCAGGGCACAGCCTGCGGCCCCGGGCACGCTGAGGCTTAGGGCCCTTCTGCAGACCCGGAGCGTGTCTCCTGGGGCAGGGCACTCAGCACAGGCTCCGTCCGCCCAGGAGCCTGTGCCCGCAGCACCATCTCTGCCTCCCTCCAGCCCGCGCCCTGCCCGCTGCCTGGCTGCCACCCTGTCCCCCCACCAGGCTCCAGCCTCAGGGCCTTTGCACAGGCTGCCGCCCTTTCCCAGGCCTTCTCGGGCAGGCAGGGCTCCCCTGACATGGTAACTGCAGCCTGGCCCTGCCAGACCAATTGTCTACACAAGGCTGGGGGCAGGGGTTCGGGGCAGGGTGGCCTGAGGGGTGCCCGGGCTGAGCCCCGCCCCCACTGGCAGCCGCCCCGAGAGGACGACCCTGCGGGGCCCCTGGCAGATAGCGTGGAGCAGACAAGATGGGGCCTGGATGTTGCAGGACCTCAGCCGGCCGCCCACACACTGGGCCCCGCATCCCCTGAGGTCAGCCTTGTCTCCCTGCCCACCGCTGACCTCACCCCCCTGAGCCGGTTCTCCCCGGCCCTTCCCCCGCGACGTGCCCAGGGCCACAGGGGCCACAGGGGCCACGGCTCCCTGGGGACAGGGCCTCTGCCCCAGGACCCAGCACGAGGCCGACAGTCGGGTCCGCACTGACACTTTATTGCGGGAAGGCTGGGCTCCAAGCAGCAGGGACCGGGCCACCAGCCCTCTGAGCCAGCCCTGGCGGGCCTCTGAGGCCAAGCCCCCGGGGGCGGCTGACCTGGCCTGTCTGAGGCCCCCGATGGGGGGCTCAGCTGCCCCCTGAAGACCACCACTCTCCACGCGCGTGTCCCGGCTGGCAGCCTGGGTGCAGGGTCCACAGAGTTGGCTGGCGGGCCGCAGCCTCAGACGAAGGTGGCGTGGTGCGGGCTGGCCTTGGGCTTGGCGGGCCCTCCGGGTATGGGGCTCGGGGCAGGGCGGGCTGATGTCGGGGCCCCGCCGGCCCGTGGCCTCCAGGGGGCCGTCCGCACCCCCGGGATGCTGCTGGCCGGCCCCGGCGGTGCGCCAGCAACTCGGTCCATGTCCGCAACTGCGCTGACCGGGGGGCGTCGGCTGCCTCGGGCCCCGCCTGCTGTCATGGGGAGAGGAGAGAGGCTGTCACCCGCCTGCCCACCCTGGCGGGAGACCCCAGCCGCCCTCCTCGCTCAGACCCTGCCAAGGGGTTCTCGCACCAGCCCCGCCTCCGCCCCGTGTATCCCAGGGGCGGTGACCTCTGCCCTGCAGCCCCTTGGCCTGTGCTCCTGGGAGCACTCAGCAGGCACCCCGAGGAGGGTCCCAGGTGGAGGGGGGTAGCGGTCTCCGGAGAGCAGGCAGGGGCGAGGGCAGCTGCGACCCTGAGTGCTGGGGGCGGGGTCTGGAGGTGCCAGGCCTGGGAGGCTCGGTGTGCTGGGACCAGCAGGGCCCCTTGTCTGGCAAGGGGACACCTGGGGCTCCCTGCCCGGGTCCAGTGCAGCCAGGAGACTGGGGACAGCTCACCCACCCAGGGCTGCCCGCCCAGCTGGGCCCCTCCAGGAGGAGCTCAGAGGCAGGGCAGCTCCCCGCCGCCCCTTGTTCTCCTTCCTGGGGTGGGGGGCTGTCTGCAGCCGAGGGGCGTCAGGGAGGCGGTCGTGATGGGGGCTCCAGGGAGACACGCACTGCTGGGCTCAGGAGCATGGAGTGCTGGGTGGGGCTGTCGCAGACGGGCCGGACCCTGGGAGCAAAGCCTTCCGCAGGCACTCGGGGTCTGCACCCACGGGCCGCACTGCTGGCTTGTCAGGGCCATGGCCCCCAGGCCAGGGTGGGCAGGGGGCCCCCGGGGCCCTCCTGACCTGGCCCTGCCATGGTCCACCTGCCAGGCCCCCCTCCACACTCTCCCGCTCTGCCAGCAACACCGCAGGCCAAGCGCCCCTTCCTCCAGCCTGCTCGCTGCTCGGAGCAGCCAGGCCCTGACTCCAAGTTCCCCCTTCACCCCCAGGAGCTCCAGGCTGCCTGGGACTGCCTTGGAAGCTTCCAGACGTTGGGGTAGGCAGCCACACCTCCTGGCCCACCACCCCAGGCGGTGGTCACTGCTGTCGTCACCCTGGCTGGTCCCGGGTGGGGCCCCAGTGGGACAGAGTGAGATCCCCAGGAGCCAGGCGGGTATGGGCAGGGCACAGGGCACTGGGCGGACCCTCAGCCTCAGCCCCGACACTGGGCTCCCCAGGTTCACCGCCAGGACAGGCGCCAGGCTCAGGGACACAGGCGCGACTCCAGACCCCGGTTGGGCCAGGTGTAGGCGGGACACAGCGTGTCTGGGGTGGTCTCAGTGAGCCTGAGGCCAAGGACCCCCCGATGTCTAGGGTGCAGGGGAAGACGCTCCGGCCCTGGCCCCCCTGTGGACAGGCTGGAGGAGGGGGCTCCAGCTCAGGAACACAGGGTCCCGCTCCCCTGACCACCCCTCCCTGCCTGCGGGGGAGGGTGAAGACGGCTCCTTCCGCGGGCCAGAGGCCTACGAGTGGGGGGGGGGGGCCGCGGGGGTATGCACCTTGCTTCCCCAGCTCCTCTGTGGCCCCCAGGACCCCTGGGGCAAGTCTAAGCCAGCAGCAGGGGCCCAGCGTCCTCTAATCTGATGGAGGTGGCAGGAGGGGTTCCCACGGCAGATCAGCCTCGCGCCTCCCAGGGGGGCTGCCCAGCCACACGCGTCCTGCTCGGCAGTGTGACGGTAGGGGTGGAGAGCATTTGCAAGGAAAGCGGCCTCTCCAGGGCTCCCAGGGTCCACGGAGCAGCCCAGGAAAGATGCTCCTCCCAGACCATCAGTCCTTTAGTCATTCAACAAACATTCCGCTTGGGCCTGTCACGCGCTTGCCAGTCAGCCCCCTGGGGGCCAGGAAGCCAGGAAGCCCCGGTGGGGCTGGTCTGCCCTTGGATCTGGGGCGGTGGGGACGGGCGGGGGTGTGCTCCTCAGCCGCTGGCCCCCACTTGGGCAACTGTCTGGAGCATGAAGAGGCCTGTGAGCCCACACACACCACGCGGCATGGCCCGCTCCTGTCCAGCCCCGCTCAGATGGACCCACCAGGAGAACGGAGGCTGGCAAGCAGGGTGGGCCCAGCCATGGGCTCGGGATGGGCGCATGTCGGGAGGGTGGCTACAGTCCAGGCTCCTCCCGCCGCCCAGACTTACTCCTCTGAGGCAGCAGTAGCCCCAGGCCTGTGACTCAGTGTCAGGGGCACCGCCTCTGTGCCAGGGCCTGCCCATGGCGACTGCTCTCCTGGCCTCCCCATGACCCTCCTGGCAGGGGGTGGAGCACAGAGGACCCCCCCCCCCCAGCCACCCACCCAGAGCTCAAGGGCCACCACTTCCAAGGAAGCCAGGCTGCCCTGTATACCAGGCTCGCTCCTGGCACCAGCTGGCCCAAGTCCTCTGTCCAACATCTCCCCAGACCCCACACATGGGGCCAGAGCCGAAACTTCACTGCCCACCCCTCAAGCTGCCCCAGGGGTTACAGGCCAGGATCCCTGGCCGACCGGATTCTGTGCTTCTGACTGGCACAGCCAGCCCCTCCCTGGGGGCCCCCTGCCGGAGCCCTCACAGCAGCTGGGACCAAAGAGCCCCTCCTGGGACCCTCCAGGCAGCCCCTGGCTAGCGGCCGGTCTGCTCTGGCCCTCAAGGCTCCACGTCGGGAGAAGGATCCTCCTTTGGGGGGCTGGCGGGGCTCCCGACAGCCATGGTGCAGCCTGACCCCTCGGCCACCCCCAGGGTCATGGTCTGGCCTCAGCCTCCAGACCTGCTGGGCCCGTGCAAGGCCCTCGCTGGCCCTGGGAACCCATCCCACTCAGCTCCCTTCCACGGAGGCTGCCTGGGCCCCCAAGGGCAAGTCAGGGAACAGCCCAACCGAAGCCCTGGTTCACACGAGGCTCCCCCCACCTCAGCCCCCAGCGTGTGTCTGTGATGGGGCGGGGGGTGCCTGCTCAAAGCCCCTCAGCAGATCTCTGCTAAGCACCTGCTGGGTGCCAGGGCTGCAGCCCATGGCAGCACAGGGCAGGCTGGGGGGCCACACAGATAGTAGGCAGGCAGACCTGGGGGCAGGGGTATGGGCAGGGCTGCCCCAGCAGAGGTGGCGGAGGTCATACTACCAGCCACCAGCGGCCCCTGGCTTCCACTGGGAGACACCCAGAGGCCAGGTGGCATGGCACCTGCGGGGCAGACACAGAGAAGGGGACGCGAGGTGGACAGACATGCAGCAGAGACCCAGGGCCAGTGACCTGAGTGGCCAGGAGGACGGAATTGTCCTCACCTATGCTGCGGCCTGGGAACGGGTGTTGGGCCAGCTCGGTCAGCCCCAGGGAGGCCGGGGAGCTAGCCGGGTGGAGGTGGGAGCCCAGGACATCTTGTGGGAGGTCCGCTAAGGTCTGTCCTGGCCAGGGCAAGGCCGGGGTTCTGTGCTGGAAAGGGGGTTCTGGATAGAGCCCTGGCTGAGGGCTGCCCTCCCGGGACCCCCGAGCACCCACGTGTCCCTGAGCAAGTCCAGCAGCTGCCACATCTGCCCTGGAAGGTAGGTGTGTGCGGTGAGGGTACCCCTCTGCGGCCCAGATGGAAGGGCCAAGCCACTGCTGGAGAGGGGACAGCTGAATGGACCAAGTGCTGAGGAGGCGGCCGGGGCGGGAGGCACCTGGAGCAGGCAGACGGAGCTGGGCTCCGGGCTGGGGAGACCTGCACAGCTGTCCCAGGAGGCCCTGACGCCCTGGGCGCAGGCAGTGGCCCGCTGCGGAGCCAGGCGGGCTTCCTTGGTTGTCCGCGGCCCAGGGCTCCCGCCTCACCTGGGCCTTAGCAGGTGAGACACGCCAAGGCTGTGGCTGGGGGCCCAGGCTGGGGTGGGGGGTGGGCGGACAGGGGCAGAGGGGCTCCTGGAACTCAGGGCCACCCCGAGGGCACACGGTCTGGCCGCCTACACTGCCCAGTGGAGGGCGTGGCCCTGTCGGCCTGGGTGACGCGCCCCCCGGTTTCCATGGAAACCGAGTTACTAGGCCACAGCGACCCCTGGCGGGGCGGCCACGTGGCAACACTTCCTGGGTCCGCGGAGAAGTGACTGCGGGCCCCTCCCGCTCTGGGCACTGGACGTGCCTCTGGGGCCCGGGACTCGGTGCAGGGCTACGAGTCCCCAGGGCGCGGGGCTCCCGCGCCGTCCAGCGCTCCTTGGGCTGAACCCCCAGCAGGGCCAGGATGGTGGCGAGGGCTCCTCGGGAAGGGTAAGGGAGAGCTCGGCCCCTGACCCAGCGCTGCCGGGCAACAGGAGGGGGAAGCCTGCCCAGCGCCTGGCGGGGGCGGAGGGCCCGTCCGTGTGCAGAGCGGGCGCGGAGGACACACTTCTCTCAGCCCAGCGCTCGGCAGCAGGTCCCACAGGGTCAAGCCTGCACCCTGGTTATGGCACCCCCTGAGCGCGCAGCCGGGGGCAAGGCCAGGACCCACCCTGTCCGACACCTGGGGGCGACGGGGTGCTGGGCCGGGCCCCACCAGTCAGCGCTGCAACGGCTCCTCTCCTCAGCCTCGAACACCGTGCTGTCTCCCGGGGTGACTCCTACGCCCTCGCCACACCCACCCACGTGGACAGGGGCGTCTCGACCCCCCGGCTGAGTGAGCCCTGAGCCCCCTGCAGGGCCCTGAACAACGTCCTTGGGCCTGACACTTGCTCCGTCGGGGCCGAGCACTCACACCCACACCCAGCCGGTGCTCCCCGGGGCGGGACGTGCCCACCAACTCCTGGGGTTTTGCTGGACACCAAACAGGTTAACAGGACCAAATCCGCAGCAGGCCATGTGGCAAGGCCGTGCCCTGCGTGGAGACCGCGCTGGGCACGGTCCGTCCAAAGGGCTCTGACAGGCCTCTGAACGTGGGCGCTGGGGACCGAGGCCCACCCTGACGAGACCCTCTCCTCCGGGTGGCGCAGAGCTGGCAGCCCTGGGTTCCACATCTCACGGCCTGGCGGCATGGCCGTGCTGCCTCTCACCCTGGACAGAAGGGTCTCGGTGGCCACCCTCTAGGAAACAGCTCACAGTACCTATAACTGGGGACGCACGCTGCATGAAACCTGCCAATGGACCCCAAGAATAAGCACACTGGCCTAAGGGTGCCCACAATGCCCCCTCTGGCTGGAGAACCCCCAGTGCTGTTCTGAGTCACCAAGGTGAGCCCAAGGCTCACGGGAGGAGTGGAGGGTCCCTCTGGTGAGCACCCCCTAGGACACCCAAGGAGGCAAGCATCCAGGGCCCCCATCTCGTTGGGGGCTGGGGGGCGGTGGGGGTGGCCACGGTGGTCAGGAGCAGCTGCCGGCACTGGCCATGACCTGGGTTCCTACCCACCAGTACACGGGGATGGGGCTCACATGGCCCCAGCAATGTGCTGGGAGATGCAGGGACCCATCCGTCACCCTGCCCAGGCTCCGGAGGGAGGGGTAGAAAGAGGCCCCACTGGGTAAACTGCGTGGGCTCGATGCCCGAGCGCAGTGTGGAGCTGGGGAGGAGGTAGCTGGACCGCAAGCAGCCAGCACGCCTGCGCTCTGGGTTCACTGGGGGCGAGGCGGAAGGATCCGGCCCCGCCGCCTCACCCGGCCCCGCCGCCTCACCCAGCAGCGCCGGCACTCCCCACATTGAGCCATCCGACCCCTAACCCCAGGGCTCAGGGAGGGAAGAGCCATTCCCCGCCCCCAACCCCAACCCCCACCCCCCGCGCGCTGTGTCTGCCGGTCCAGCGCCCCCTCCCCAGCCACATCATGCAGCTCTCTCTGCAGACACACCCGAGGCTCCCAAGTGTATCTAGAGTGGTCTATTTTCAAAAGCCAATATATTAAACAGTGAATTACACGAAAATGTGCAGTGTTTGCCATGGGTTAAAATACACCTATCGTTTTCTAAAGAGAAAATAGGTTTTCAAATGAAGGAGGAAAGAGTTTTCAAGCAGTCCGACGGTCAGATGTAGAGTTTATTTCTCGGAGCACAGACTCAAAGCACAGATGCAGCTGCACAGGTGTGCAGGGGATGGGAGGGGAGACGGGGTCGAAGAGCAGGCCACATGCGAGAAGGAAGGCCCGGCTTGGTCCCCGCGGGGAGCCCGCCCATGCAGCCCATCGTCCAGAGTCGGCACCCCGCGCACCGAGCCAGACCACCGCGGCCCGGGGTCCCCAGAGATGCGGCTGCGGGGCAAGACTCAGGCAAAGGGGGCCTTCCCGGCGGCGGAGCAGCCCACAGCGAGGGTCCGCGCACCACGGGGCGCGAGGAGCCGCCCCGCCCGCGGGCCGGGCACGGGTGTGGCCCTCGGCAGAGCCCCTTCTCCACGAGGCCAGGGACCTCGCTTCCTCAGCCAACATGCGTGCGTCTCGGGACCGGCTCACGTGACACGTTCACGCTTCCGTTTGGAGGAGCCGTGCTGACCTCCCGGGTCAGGGAACCCCAGGCCCATGGGCCCCCACATGCTCTGACCGATGTGGAGAGGGGGAGCAGCCCCCCGCGGCCGGACCTGGGGGTCACCATGAGCCTCGGGCTCTAAGCCACATAGGGCTTCTCCCACTTGCTCAAGACAAATACTTTTTTTTTTTCAGTCTTGAGATTAAAATACTGAAAGTGCTAGCGATCTAGATTGTAAAAATAACACACATTTTTCAGAAGTCCCCAGGGCCTTGCTTGGGAGAGGCAGAGGGGAGCGCGCCGGGCCCGGTGGGGCGCCGCTCATGAGCGCCCCCGCAGGAGGCCTCCTCCATGCCCGCCGCCCCCCCCACCGTCCTGGCCACTCTCCGACCTCAGCGGCGCTGGGCCCTCTCAGAGAGGGCGGGGGCAGCCAGGACAAGCACGGTCACCGCGGAGGAAGCGCGCTGAACCCTCCCTCAAGAGACTCCGGGCGGGGGGTTCACTTCCCACCGCCCTCTCGCTTTAATTGGAAGCTGTGTGGACAGCGCCAACGCCGGGCGGACGGCACTGGGCCAGCGGGAGGAGGGCAGTCAACGGGGAGCAGGGGTGGCGCGCCCGGAGGTACCTGGTCTCCGAGGTGCGGCCGCGTCCCGCGGGGCGGGGGGCGGCGGCAGGAACGTGCTGTTGGGGCTGCTGATGTCCCCCTCCCCCGTGAGCGTCAGGTCAGCCACGTGCTCGCCCTCCTCCGTCTGGACGCTGCCGGCCTCCACTTCCTGCGCCGGCGGGCTGGGGGTCCCGGGGGCGCCGAGGGGCAGGCTGTCGCCGGAGCCGGGGCTGCTGGCCGGGCTTTCTCGGGGCCGGGGTGCCCGTTCCTCCCCGTGACCCGTCACAGGTCTCGGGCCGAAGGCCTTGGCAGCGGCTGAAGGGGAGGGGGCGAGCCCTGGGGGGCTGGGGGGCAGACGCAGGAACTCGGGCAGCACGAGGTCCTCCTTCCTCAGCAGCCCGCGCTGGTCGTCTGCTCTGCTGCTCTGAGCTTTGGAAATGAGCTCAAAAAACTCTAGCAAGAAAACCCACAGTGACCAGGTTTTAGAGCGGGTCCCCTCCGGCCCGCGGGCAAGCGCGCGGCTAGAAGTTCCGTCCAGCTGCCCCGGGCCTTCCCACCCTCTAGTCTCCAACCAGAGCCCGGGAGACTGCAGGTCCTCCCTGGACTGGCTCTGGGTGCCGGGGCAGCAGCCACCTGGTTCCCTTCTGAGCAGGAGGGAGGCCGCTGACCAGACGCCACGGCCTGGCAGAACCAGGAGCCCAGGTGTCCGGCGCCTGTGAGCCCGCGTGCGGGTGTCCTTGGGCACCACCTGGGCCTGTGAGCGATGCCTGGCCCTCGACCCCCTCCCGCAGCTCCGGGACGCCCGCCTGCGGCACCCCTGGCCAGGTACTCTAGCCTCCTGGATGCCCCCCAGAACTCTTCCTGTTCTTGAAAGTGGAAGTGTTAAGTCTCTCAGTCGTGTCCGACTCTTGGTGACCCCATGGACTGTAGCTCCCCAGGCTCCTGTCCATGGGATTCTCCAGGCAAGAATACTGGAGTGGGGTTCCTCCAGATCGTCCCCACCCCGTGGTCGATCCGCGTCACATCTCTTTTGTCTCCTGCACTGCCGGTGGGTTCCTTTTACGGCTAGCTCCACCTGGGAAGCCTGTTCTTACTGGGATGGGTTCTCAGCTGTAACTCGGGTCCACCATCCAGGGTAGACGGTGTCTACACTGAGCCTTCTTGGGGTTAGCTTAGCTAACTAAGGTTATAGTCTTAGCTTCTGACCAACAAGCAGCCTGCAGCCTCACACCTGAGGGCGCTCAGAAGGCGGGCGCTTCGGCGCAGGCACGGCCAGGCAGCGCAGGAGCTGCGACGAGCCGGCCGAGCGGAAGCGCTGCCGGGTTCAGCCGTCACAGGGCAGCTCTGAGCGGAGCTGCTCCGAGTGCTTCTCTGTGTTACCGGCTTCTGGAGGGAGAGCTTCCCGCCTCCCTGTCTCTCACGCGCTGCCCTCCTCCGGTCTGCGGTCCGGGGGCAGCGTGGGCGGCCGGCCCCCACGGCCTGACACACAGCGTCCCCTCCCGGCCTCTGACCAGGGCGGTCAGCGAAGTCAGGGCTCCACCTTACCTGGGACCCGCCCCCACGAGGACCCACCCCCCCACGAGGACACGCCCCCCACGAGGGCCCGCCCCCTGATGAGGGCCCGCCCCCTGACAGCCCCCACCCCCGCGAGGGCCCGCCCCCTGATGAGGACACGCCCCCGACGAGGGCCCGCCCCCTGATGAGGGCCCGCCCCCTGACAGGACCCGCCCCCCGCGAGGGACCGGCGCCAGGGACCCTGAGACCACCTGTTGCAGCCCCAGGCGGGGGCTCCCTAACTCCTGAAGGGCCCGGCCCTCTGTCTGAAAACTGGGACTTTAGTAAGGTTACAGCGACAGCTGCAGACCCACACAGGCGACTTCTGTGAGAAGGGGTCACATTCACCCCAGCAGCATAACCCAGAAAAGGGTCTAGGGATCCTATGCGTTCACGAAAAACGTGCAAGTTTTAAAAAGTACACGTACCCTCTGCTTCGTCCAAATTAATTTTCTGATACTTTTTTTTCCCAATCTTTGCAATAGATTCTTCTCTCTTTGAAAGCCGGGGCTCCCTAGCATTCTTCCCATTTTCTCCTTTAATTTTAATAGAATTAGACTTGCCTAGCGTTCTCTCCTCTCCCTGCGTCAGAAGGAAAGTCAAAGTTCCACTCACGTTGCAGACAGGATAGCATGTTCATCAGTTACATAACAGGGGACTTGGAAACACATACTGCACAGATTTGGGCTTTACATGCGTTGCAGAAAAGTCAATTGCAATAAAGACTGCATGTGAGGTACACACACCCACCCAGCGATTCCCAGGCCAGTGGGAGCGGGCACCACAAAGGAGCCCTAGAAGAACCCCCCACCCCGGGGCACAGGCCCAAATGCTGCTGGGGCCGCCGCCCGTGAGCATCGCAGGTGTGGGGCAAGGGGAAATTACCGTAGCCGAGTGATTCCTGGAGCTGGCGTTTCCAGCTGTGCTCTGTCTGACTGGCGCAGCTCTCTGTTTATCTGTGGACGCTGAACACAGCGAGATAGACTTTATACTGCAGTGAACCACAAGCCCATCTCCACATCAATACAATGACGTTTATCCGTCTTTGAGAGCAAAGGTGCACAGAAGCCAAACCTCTCAGGTCCCTTATCTCCATCACGTTCAGGTTGAGGTGCCCGCACAGGGCCAAGGGACAGAGGACCAGCGCCCTGGACTGGCCGCCTCTGGACAGGGCGGGGGGAGGGTGACCATGCTCACTGGGCTCTGCAGTGAGAGAAAGGGCCTCCTGGGGACTTTGGCACGAGCGCCTTTAGAAAGTAGGAGGCTCTCACATTCATTACGTATTTTCAACCATGGCCACTGCCCCAAGTCAGGGCCGCAGGCTGGCCCCCAGCCCTCATGGTGCACGGCCACTGCTCTGGCCCAAGACGGGCCGGAGCAGTCCTGCCCTCCCGCCTGTGAGCAGCATTCTGCACCCTGCACACACCTGCTTGCAGCTGCAACTTCAGACTCACCTGTGCACACGGGCCAGGGGGTCTGACCGCATCAGACCCTGGAGGGGGCCCTGCTCAGGTCGCTCGCCCCCCAGACCGGCCGCCGGGCAGGGGGAGAGCACACTGCACTCTCAGAACCCAGATGAGCCCAGAGGGGGACGAGGGGCTGCGCTGGAGCCCCGAGGGCAGAGAGGCCGCCACAGCCCCGGTCACCCGGGGGCACAGACAAGTGACCAGCGCCCCATTTCAGAGCTGAGTCAGCCCGGGAAAGGGATGGGCAGCTCCTGGCACAGCCCTCCGCTCGCCCTGTTCAGTGGACTCCGGGGGCTCCCTGCACGAGACATGGCCCCGCTACCCCCCGCCTGAGAGGGGCTGAGTGCTCCGGGGAGTGCTGGTCCCTGAGACCCAAGGCGAGGCCAGGTGACCTGACAGAGCCCCGGCAGTCACACTGCTGCCCGGGGTCTCGGCAGGGCCCGTCACCCTTCTCCTGGCAGAGGAGACACACTCCGCGAGGCCCCAGCGCTCCTGCCCATGTCAGATGCCCGTAAGGCTTGAACTCGGCCATGGCGGGGAGCTGCCGGGCCCTGGGAGACCCTAAAGCCATTAGCGGCTCTCTACGGCGTCATGCTGAGACCCAGACAGCAGAGCCCGGGACCCGGCATTGCTCCGCTCACCTTTCCCTCGGGAGGGGTCCTTCTCCTCCAAGATGACCCGCTGTCCGTCGAGACTCGAGATGGGGGCCCCAAGGTCCAGGGGCTCCTTCTCTCCACTCTAGAAGCAGAGATGGTGCAATGAGCAGCCCACGTGGGCTGGAGCTCTCCGGAACAACCACATGTGGTCCATCGGCCAGCAAGACCACCCCAAGCTTGATGGAGTCACACAGGCCAGCTGACCCCACATCCTTCCACCTCAGCAGGGCTGGCCGCAGACTCCTGATGTAGAATGACACGGATCCCAAACGCTGGCAGGCCTGCCCAAACACAGGCACCCTGAGGAACCGGCGTGAACGGGGCTATCACCAGGGGCTAGCTGCGGGCCACGCCAAGTCGGGTTGAAGACTCGGGGGTGGAGGGCACGTGGTGGCACCACTAACAGCTGCATCCCCGTCAAGCTGGCCGAGGTCTCAGGACGACTCTCAGCCTGGAGGGGGCGACCCCGAGCCCACCTCACTGATCCTCCGTGTGCCACGAAGCTCCTATGGGGCTTCACGCCCCTCCCTGAGCAGGAAGCAGGCGGGTCTGAGGCCCAGGGTCCTGCCCTTCTCCCCTGGGAGACTATTTTTGCTGTTCGAGTCCCACAGCTTCTGTCAAAAAACAATCTGAACTTGCAGTCTGGCTATTGAACTACCTAGTGACCCAACACCCAGCCAGAGCTCCAGCCAAGTGGGGAGTGGACAAGGCTAGCAGGTCCAGGTGGCTCACGACCTCCTGGCCTCAACGGCCCACAGCTCACCCAGGAGGGTCTGCAAGAGTGTCCCGGGACAGCCGTAACCTCGGAGACCACCCACGGGACCCCCATTCTGCCCTCCCCAGTTCTCCCGGACCCTCGCCCTGGAGCAGCTGGACCGCCCTTCTGGCTCAGGCATCAGCATGGAAGGAGCCCTGCCCACCGGCCAGCCCCCCGGGACAGAAGCCCCACAGCTGCCCCATGAGCAAGCTGCCCTGACTCCCCCACTTTACAAATAGCGCTACAGGCACAGAGTGTTAAGCCACAGCTTAGGATCTCAATCAAGTGAGGGCAGGGAGGCCACATGGCACCCAGGCCGTGCTCCTCTCCATCGCACATATTCTAGACTCCAGATTCTGGGGCAGCGCTCCCCCCGTCCCCTCCCCCACTGTCTCAAGCTGCGGGAGGGAGCCCTGGGTTCCCCTCAGGACTGGTCCTCTGCTTCACTTCAAAATTTCTGAACAATTCTGGAGCTCGTCTCAGAGAAAATAAAAATCCTAACAATACTTGCAATCTAGCTCTGATACAGTATATTTTGTAAAGATAGGAGAACACAGACCAATGGGCCATCAGTGTGTGCTCAGTCTCCTCAACGTGTCCAACTCTTCGCGACCCCATGGACTGTAGCCCACCAGGCTTCTCTGTCCATGGGCTTCTCCAGGCAAGAATCCTGGAGTGGGTTGCCGTTTCCTCCTCCAGGAGATCTTCCCAACCCAGGGATCAATGTCTCCTGTGACTCCTACGTTGCAGGCGTGTTCTTTATCGCTGAGCCACGAGAAAGCCCCCAGTGGGTCCCAAAATCACTACATTTCAAAGCAAACACGTGGCTCATGTGGGGACAGCCCCGAGCCTGCTGGCCCGAGTCCCCCCAGACGCCCTCTGGCGACAGGGTGGGGCTCTGCTCTGTCCCATCTTAACCCGTTCACTAAGTAACCCAATGGCCGGCTGGGAAATGCCCAAGTGCCATCAGACCCTTGGCGTGTGGGCAGCCAGGCAGTTAGCAGACGCATGAGGGGGTCGTGTGCATGGATCAGGCGGCTCCCGCCCTTGAACCGACGCCTGGTCAGATGCGCAAATGGCAGGAGGCTGCAGGGTTTTCCTTGTTTCTTTTCTTGGCCTCCTTGGGCCAAAACCCCCAAATCTCAACTCAAACCCAGAAGGCACAACAGAAGTACGAACAGTGAGCGTTTCCACTGCAGGGTGGGAGGCAGATGGGTGGAGATGACACCCTCCCATGGCTCTGGGCGCCACCAGCCGCTCCTCACCCGCCCCTTGCGATGCCACAGGTCACTCTGTGGACGACTGGGGTGCAGGAGCTCGTGGGCAGCTTGGAGCACAGGGGGCCCCGTGACCCTGTCAGCCTGGTCACTCACCAGCCGGGCCACCAGCTCACTCAGGCGCAGGCCGTACTTGGCCGCCACGGGACGCAGCACCTCTGTGACGGGCTTGCTGGGCTTGGCCTTGAGTCCCACCGATCGGTTAATCGGCACCAGATCCAGCCTGGGCAGAGGGGGAGAAACAAGTACGCCTTTGCACACGCACATGCAACCCTCATGCAGACACTCTCCCTCGAGAGCAGAGCGGCGTGGCACCCACGGCGTCACCATCACCAGGGCAGCCCGGGTTCCACCAGGAGAGAGCCTGCAGGGGCTTCTCCAGGACCTGCGGGCCGCCCCCCGGCCACCCCCCAGCGGCCACCCCACGGGACGGCCCTGCGCCGGGTGCAGCCCGACGGTGGTCGCTGGCAGGGAGCGTGACCCTCTGGCCCCAGGGACTCCTCCCCCTCCGAGCTCACAGTGGGGGTGTTGGCCCTCCCATCCCAGCAGAGCAGAGGCCAGCATATCAAGTCTTCAGAAACGGCCCTGTGGCTCTGGAAACTTTATGGAACTGGCAGCTGCATTTTTCTTACCGAAATAAAGTGCGTTTTTCTAGGCGCAGGTCCCTTGACTCCAAGATGCTACTGTCCTGATGCAGCACCAGAGGCTTCAAGCACATGGAAGGAACCGAGAGGGACATCAGCGGGGGCCAAGCGCACAGCCGCGGGGAGCACAGCCGTGGGGAGCCAACTGCGGGGAGCACAGCCGCAGGGAGCCAACTGCGGGGAGCACAGCCGCGGGGAGCACAGCCGTGGGGAGCACAGCCGCGGGGACCACAGCTGCGGGGAGCACAGTGCGGCTGCGGGGAGCACAGTGCGGCTGCAGAGCCCGCAGGGGGAGTGCACAGCCGGGCCAGGCTCCCGATGGGCCTCCGGCAGAGGCGGCAGGGAACCCGCGGGTAAGGTGGATAGATGTGGGTGGGCTGGCTCCCCACCAGCAGGATCCCCACGGGGCAGGCGCCCCCCGGAGAAAGGCCCAAGGTGCCGCAGCCGTACCTTGTCCCCGCCCACCAGGAAGAGGTCCACGGCAGCCCCGTTGATGCCGTGCCGCTCGCAGAGCCCGGCCAGCACGTCCTTGATGGAGAGCCCCGCCCTGACCAGCACCACGCAGGCCGTCCCGTCGGGCAGCTGGATGCTGCAGTGCTTGGCCGGCTTGTCCCGCTCGGGCGCGAGAGTCCTGCAGGCCTCTGGCTGGGGACATGGAGACACGGAGGTGGGCACAGGGCGGGGGCGCTCGGGCGGGGCTGGCACTGCTTGCACATGCCGGGGGGGGCAGGGCACCCCCTGTGCACACCCAGCTCCAGCACACAACCCGTTCTGATAAGTGCATGCTGCATTGCAGGGCCTCCAGCCAACACGGGAGGGATCCAGCCCCTCTCTCAACCTCGGGTGCCATCCGGATGGGCCCACCCTCCAACCTCTAGGTCTAACTCTCACAAAGGTTAGGCTGACAGCTAACCACACAGCTTTCCTGCTCAGAACAGGACAGGTCTTTCCATTGTGGTTTCTGGGGGTCTGGTCTTGGCCTCCCTGACCCAGAAGCGCATGCAGCCACCTCTGGAGCCCCATGAGGCCACTCGGGGACCATGAGCTGTGCTGCCTGCCTGCCACTCAGTCTGGGGGCCGTAGACACGTGAGGCAGGCTGGACCAGCGATGAGGGCCTGCGGCCCAACCTCTGCTGCTCCTGGTTGCTTTTCTGGCTCTTTCTGCCTGACCTCCCAGGACTGGAGGCCTTTCTGGGAGGAGCGGACTGACAGCAGGGCAGGGGGGGCGGCCAGGCCAAGGCTCAGGGGCAGCAGCACACGTCCGAGGTCAGAGGAGCAGGTGGGGGGAGGCGGGGTGGGGACACAGGGGGCCCCGGGCCCTTCCTCCGGGGGGCAGGCGGGGGGCTGCAGCCTGCGGTGCCCGTGGCCGGGGCCTCACGGTGGGCAGATGCGTCTCCCTCTACCAGGGGAAGGGGCCGGGGCAGAGCAGCGCTGTGGTGTCCGCGTGGTGCGGAGGGGGCCAGCGCGGGTGGGCGGCCCCCCGCCGCACTCGGAGCTGGGTCTCAGGGCAGGACAGGAGCCGCCCAGCGGCCCAGCTCCCGGGGCGGACCCCAGGCCCCTTCACAATGCGCCTCCGGGTCCCTGGGCCACAGGAGCCCCTCCTGCCAAAAGGGGCTCTCCACATACATGCTCCCAAGGCCTGACCACCCTGCTCCTCAGGTTCGTAACACACTCTCCTCCTGGGGCCAGAAAATCCCTCTCACCCAAATGCGACTTCAGAAAACGAGTCTGTAGGTGGCAGACAGAGAGAAAATGCCCCCGGCGTGCCCTTCTCAGATGCACGTGTGATATACACGCACTTTGAGGCCGCTGGACCGCGGGTGGCCCGTGAGGCAGCAACAGCCGACGGGTGCACGGTCTGCCTGACAGCTCTACCTGGTACTGCCTCAGCTAGAGAAGAAAGGCGTCCTACATTAACCCCTGCCTGACTGTTTCAAGAGACGAGGCTGCTGACAACAGGGTCTTCCAGAGCTGGCGTCAGACAGCAGCTGAGAAGCCAGCGCCTCCCCCACGTCACTGGAAATGGGGCTCAGCAGGGCGAAGGGCGCGGGGCCGGGCAGGCCGGGCACCACCCCCAGCACACGGGCGCGGCTGCGGGGCGTCGGAGCTCACTGCCCCGCGCGTGCGCAGATGCCAAGACAAAGATGAGCAGCTGCTCCCGCGGGCGTCCAGAGCCACGTGCCCGATCGAGAACAAACGCTACGGAATGAAGCCCGAGGTATTCTTGGTGCTCCGGGGCACCCTCCCACCCATCCCCGCTCCTCCTGGAAGCCCCGTGGACGAGGGCGGCGGCTCTGCGGGCACTCACCAGGTCCAGGCTCCCAGCCGAGGACACGGAGCCCTGTGACTCCCGGCGGCCCAGGCCTCCGTTGGCGTGCAGGGCGTCTGCGGGGACACGGGCACTCAGAATACCACCGCACCAGCCTCACGCCTCCTCACGTAACGCAGCCACTCCCCAAGCGTTGCTGGGCCCCCACACCCCCAGCGGCTCAGGCTGGACAGACGTACTCGGAGGACGGGAGCCTGGCCCGGAGGCCCATGCGCGGCACGGCCTCCCCTGGCACCTACCGGGGCCGGGAGCCCGACCCAGGCCTGCGCTCTGCTCTGCTCGCGGCCGAGCGCCCCCCACCCCCGCCTCAGAGTCAACACACAGCAAGTGCAGGGCCTCGAGGCCCCTCACTAATCCGGAATCGTTATCTCCGCATGCGGCTTAACACGCAGCGGGTCACTGCAGCTTCACCATCAGCTCCTGGGAAGTCCTGAACCAGCGATGATCGCACTGTCTGATGTCACTAACAGAGCTAATTATGGACTGAAAGTCATGCCTACTCTGCCGCAGAGAGGCCCTTCCAGAGCACAGCGCCGACTCCCGGATGAGGCCTCTGTGCAGGGCCCTGGGGCTGAGCAGGGGCCTGATTACATGGAGGCCCCCAGGGCCCACCGACCACCTTCCAAAAGCAACAGACAGCCAGGCAATCGAGTCAGAACTCCTGGGGAGGGCCCTGGACTCAGGGTTTAGCACCCCTTCCAGGTGGCTCTCTAAAGATCGGGGTACGGGGGCCCTGGCCGCCTGGGGTCCTGCCTGGGGGCACAGCCCTAGAGAGGCAGGCCCTTCCCCATCTCGGGTCCTCGGGGGTCCCTGACCCCACTGACCACGGCGCCCCCATCCCCCAGCCATCTGCCCTTCGTGGAAGGACGCTGTCCTAGCGGCCCCCGGCTGGCCAGGAGCCTGAGGGCCCCACCAGGTGCACAGCCTCCCCCATGCCTCTGTCTGTAAAAGGGGCACAAGGCCCCCTTCGCAGGCTGCTGTGAGCAGGAGACAAACACCCTCCACACACCGCCCGGCACAGCGCGGGCCCCGCCCCGGGAGGCCGCCTCCACGCCGTCCTCAGCTGCTCCCTGTCTGAGCCCCCAACGGGCTCCCGGTTTAAACCTGGGGACCAGGCCTGAAGCCTACAGGTGACTTGCTGGAAAATAAGCCTGCTCGTGGCAGTCTGTGGGGAAGAAACAGCCTGTCCCCCGCTGCCTCACACCCCGACCCCACCACCTCCTCCCAGCAACACCCCCGCCTCCCTCACCCTCTCTTCGCAGCCACACACGAGAAAGAAGCACAGGGAAAAAGCTCTAGAATGCTGACCTTTAAGATTTGCAACAATAAAATGACGATTTTGAAAATGCTTGATAACCGAGCTATGGTGTCACATTTTCTTTAAAAAACGACAAAGGCTCATGGACCCCGGCACACCGCGGAAAAGCCAGAGCTGCCTGGGTGGACGGAAGGCAGACACCTTGTTCCCCTCTTTGCTCCCGGTTGCATCTCCCAAACTTTCTACAGAGAGCTCGGGCAAGACGGTGGTTGAGTGGCAGGCACTAAGCCCCCCGCAGGGCACCCAGGCTAGGGGGTGGGGGCGGAACGTATCCCGTGCCTCTCAGAGGACTTGGAGCCGCCCTGCGATCCCAGCCGGCCGCCCCGTGGGCCGCCTCACAGCACAGCAGGCACTGGCTCCTCCATGCCCCCAGCCCCCGCACAGGACAGACCACGAACCGTTGGGACGGTCGCCGTGGTCCTTCTTCTTCTGGGAGCGTCCGGTGCTCCTGGTCCGCGACCACGAGAAGAAGGCGCCTTTCCGCTTCCTCTCACTGTCCTCGTCCCCCAGCTCTTCATTCAGGGACCGTCCTGATTTTGATTTTCCGCTCAACTACCATCAAAGGGAAAGCGCTGTTAAAACAGCATGACGCTGCTGTAGGGTCGCAGGAGACACACGCGAAGGGAAGTGGGGTGGGACGCCCAGGCGGGGGCGCCGAGGGAAGTGCAGCCCGCCAACCCCTCCAGACCAGCAGCTGGCCCCTGCCCTGCCCAGAGCCCCAGGAGTGCAGGCCTTTCAGGTTCTGCGAGTGAGGGAAGACGCCAACAGGGACGTCTCCTGTCTGCAGAGCGCCCTCCTGGGGAAGGCAGGCGCGCAGGATGGGCACCTTCTTGGGCGTGGACGTGTTGGAGTGGTCTGAGCTGGCGCTGTGCTTGGAGGTGGGGCTGCTGGGGACCTGCTGAGCATCGGGCAGCGGGCGGCCCTCCACCTCTGCCAGGATGCACTCTTGGTACAGCGGGGATTTCAGGAACCGTGTGTAGCTGTCGAACTTCATCAGGTTGAAGATCTGCCGGGAAAACGCAGCGCTGTCCCATCACAGACAGAACTGGACCCTCGGTCCCTAAAGTGCAGGCCTCTTCCCAGAGCCCCTTGTCTCCCTTGCAGGGGTCACCCAGGCTCCTCAATGTATGATCATGCTTCTTGCAACACGCCAGCCCCTGGGGTCACACTTACAAACAGCCCGGTCCAACACCGACATGAAGCCAGCACCTGAGCTGACTCAGGACAGGCAAGGTGCAGTCATGGAGAACCTTGACTTTGTTAAACAGGAATGAAACCAAGGCAACCAGAATCTAAAGGAAGTGAGACCTGCCTTGAAAATACATTCCTCGGGACTTCCGTGGTGGCCCACTGGCTAAGACTCCAGGGTTCCCATGCAGGGGCCTCAGGTTCAACCCCTGGTCATGGAACTAGAACACACATGCTGCAGCTAAGACCCAGTGCAGCCAAATATATAAATATGTATAAAAAGAAAATACCTTCCTCCATTTTTTAACCTATTTCTTGTGACTAGGCAATAGAAGGAACTTCTGCTGAGGCCAGGGGACACGCGCTCCAACAGCAGGTCCACGTGGACACAGGCTCTGACAGTCGGTCCCGTGTGGACACGGGCGCTGACACTGGGTCCCACATGGACACGGGCTCTGACACTGGGTCCCTGTGGACACAGGCTCTGACACTGGGTCCCACGTGGACACGGGCTCTAGCAGTGGGTACCACATGGACATGGGCTCTAGCAGTGGGTCCCACGTGGACACGGGCTCTGACACTGGGTCCACGTGGACACGGGCTCTGACACTGGGTCCCGCGTGGACACGGGCTCTGACACTGGGTCCGCATGGACACGGGCTCTAGCAGTGGGTCCCACGTGGACACGGGCTCTAGCAGTGGGTCCCACGTGGACACGGGCTCTGACACTGGGTCCGTGTGGACACGGGCTCTGATATTGGGTCCCATGTGGACATGGGCTCTAGCAGTGGGTCTACATGAACATGGGCTCTGACACTGGGTCCCGCGTGGACACAGGCTCTGACAGTGGGTACCACATGGACATGGGCTCTAGCACTGGGTCCCACGTGGACAGGGGCTCTGACACTGGGTCCGTGTGGACACGGGCTCTGACAGTGGGTACCACATGGACACGGGCTCTAGCAGTGGGTCCGCATGGACACGGGCTCTGACACTGGGTCCGCATGGACACGGGCTCTAGCAGTGGGTCCCACGTGGACACGGGCTCTAGCAGTGGGTCCCACGTGGACACGGGCTCTGACACTGGGTCCGCATGGACACGAGCTCTAGCAGTGGGTCCCACGTGGACACGGGCTCTGACACTGGGTCCCACGTGGACACGGGCTCTGACACTGGGTCCGCATGGACACGGGCTCTGACACTGGGTCCACGTGGACACGGGCTCTGACAGTGGGTCCACGTGGACACGGGCTCTGACAGTGGGTACCACATGGACACGGGCTCTAGCAGTGGGTCCCACGTGGACACGGGCTCTGACACTGGGTCCATGTGGACACGGGCTCTGACACTGGGTCCGCATGGACACGGGCTCTAGCAGTGGGTCCCACGTGGACACGGGCTCTGACACTGGGTCAATGTGGACACGGGCTCTGACACTGGGTCCCGCATGGACATGGGCTCTGACAGTGGGTCCGTGTGGACACAGGCTCTGACACTGGGTCCCACATGGACACGGGCTCTAGCAGTGGGTCCCACGTGGACACGGGCTCTGACACTGGGTCCGCATGGACACGGGCTCTAGCAGTGGGTCCCACGTGGACACGGGCTCTGACACTGGGTCCATGTGGACACGGGCTCTGACACTGGGTCCGCATGGACACGGGCTCTAGCAGTGGGTCCCACGTGGACACGGGCTCTGACACTGGGTCCGCATGGACACGGGCTCTAGCAGTGGGTCCCACGTGGACACGGGCTCTGACACTGGGTCCCACATGGACACGGGCTCTAGCAGTGGGTCCCACGTGGACACGGGCTCTGACACTGGGTCCATGTGGACACGGGCTCTGACACTGGGTCCGCATGGACACGGGCTCTAGCAGTGGGTCCCACGTGGACACGGGCTCTAGCAGTGGGTACCACATGGACATGGGCTCTAGCAGTGGGTCCCACGTGGACACGGGCTCTGACACTGGGTCCGCGTGGAACGGGCTCTGACACTGGGTCCCACACACACTTCTCATTACTGTGATGTCCTGAAGCTGAAAAGACCCAAACACCTATGGATCTGTGTGTGTCGACGCCCATGAGCCTGTGATCGCACACAGAGAGGAGCCGACAGACAGGGGCGCGGTGCTGGGCCTTCCCGCCCCAGGCCCTGCGGAGCCCTAGCCCTGAGACGGGAGCTCCAGGCCCTGCGGAGCCCTAGCCCTGAGACGGGAGCCCAGTGCGGGGGCTCCCCTGCGCTCCCTGCGGGGGCTGGTGCCTGTGGGAGCAGCCCCCCAGGACCCTAGACCTGAGACGGGGGCCCAGTGCGGGGGCCGGCGCCCGTGGCAGCAGCCCCCCAGGACCGCACCCTCGGTCCCGCCGGGGCCGTCACCTGCAGCTGCTGCTCCTTGAACATGTCGGGGTGGGGGGCGCTGAGCGTGTCGTCCGCCAGCTGGGCCTGGCTGTCGATGTTGACCGGCGTGGTGGCCTTGCTGCCCAGGAACTTACTGAAGATCTCGCGGGCCCTGTAGGAGAGCTGACGGGGCAGCGTGTGAGCCGGACACGCGGGCTGCACACGTCTTCTGTGTCTGTCCACCACTGCAGCCCAGACGCCTGACATGACTCCGGGCACTGGAGACACATTTTCTTGGGACCTAATAACCATCCCTTGGTTGAAAACTGACCGAAAGTACCAGCTCGGCATGAAACTTTTCAATGAATTGGCTCCTCTCCAGGTCCTGTCAAAGGGCAATCTGAATGCTTGGAAGACCTGGGCTGGGACCTGCCACGCGGTCCCCACGGCACCGAGCACGTGGGGCAGAGGGAAACGGGGACCGGCCGCCTCAGGGCAGGTCGTGCCGGGACCCTGCCCGCCCCATGCGGCCTGCACGTGGCTGCCCAGACGGAAGCTCCTGGAATGCACCCCCCAACCCCAGATTCTCTCCCAGCTCTCTGTTCACACTGGGCGGCAGGCAATACATGTGCTGAGGAAAGTGTTAGGGCTCCAGGCATTTATGAAAGCTAAGTTTAGGCAAAATTAAATATCACATATATTAAGAAACATTCTGAAAGAGCCATTTTTTTTAATCGTGTGAAAGTTGTGCGTGGACTTTTCAGACCGCACTAGGTGTGAACCTCCACTGAAACCCCCGCCCTCCACCCCCCACCCGACATCCCCGTCTGAAAAACCTACCTCCTTTTTGTCATGTGCAGGAACATGATTAAAATATTCACAGGCCTGCCAGAACAAAATGTTTTCTTCACTGAACTCCTTCCTCAGAAAATCCTAAGGAAAACACCATTGATTAACCATCACATGGTCCTCAGAAGAGGGCCCGTCAGTGGTCGGGGGACCTCACCACTGGGCTGTCTCTTCCCCACTTTACTCTGATTTTCCCCTTTCACAGAAACCAGAGGTGCCAAGTGCCTCTCCAGAGTTCCCCTAGAGACAAACCCAAAGGCTGGGGATGCCCAAGGAGCCGAGAATCCCTCCCGAGGGCCGACCCAGCTCGCAGGCAGCGGATGAGGGTTCACGGAGGCCCTGATGCAGCAGAGAGAGGCCCCCTCCGACCCCGGGCCTGCCGGGGCTGAGTCAGGAGGGGGAGACGCCTGCCCTGCCTGCCCAGTCCTGCTGGAAGGGGTGCCCGCTGCCCGTCAGACTCACGGAGAAGTAGCGAACGCCGAGTGGGTCCTGCAGAAGGCGCTCGAAGGACACGGCCCAGCTGGCCACCCTCCGCTCGCGCAGACGGCGGCAGCTCTGCACGCTGGGCAGGCTGGCATTGCTGCTGAGGCTGTGGTTGCTCACGCAGTCCTTCAGGTCGGCGCCGGTCAGCTCTGCGGGCCACACACACCTCGCTCACCACGGCCCTGCCCTCCACCCGCCGCCTCCCCGAGCCGTCCCCTCTGAGCGGAGGGGAGTGCCCACGCTGCCGCCACGCCGTCAGGCGCCGGGGACGAGACAGAACGTGCCTCCTGCGGCAGAGGCGCACCCCGGCAAGGGTGCTCCCGGGTCGCGGCCGGCCTGGCTGCGGGCGCCACAGGGAGCGAGCTGAGTCCGCCCGGGGTCCTGAGGTGCCCGGGGCCGGGGCCAGGTGATCGTGGGCGGAGCAGAGGGCAAGGGGCACCCAGAGACACGCACGTCACTCAGCGCACCGCAGTGCCCAGCAGGGAGCAGGACCCGCGCACGCACCGTCCAGACCTGCTCTGCTAGAGCCCAACACACAGGCCCGCAAGAGGAAAGCTCCGGCTCTGCATGCACTGACACACGCACAGGCCGGCTCACACTCACACTGACTCACTCACAGCCCGGCTCACACTCACACTGACACTGACTCACGCACAGCCCGGCTCACACTCACACTCACACTGACTCACTCACAGGCCGGCTCTCACACACACATCCCCCTCCCGTCTCTCCTTGGGGCTGGGGTCCTGGAAGACCCCACAGCTCCACGTTTGACTGAACACCAGAGATGCTCACCCCCTGAGTCAGCCTCTCCTCCCGACACACTTCCCCATATGTGCTTTATCAGAACTGGACAAAACCGAGTGTGGAGATCCGTGAGGACAGCTACACAAGACAGAGGCAGGGCCACCCCACCCGACGTCAGACGCACGGCACACCGTGTCCTGCAGAAGCGTCCACTCGGCCGACAGGACACATCGGTCACCAGTGAGCACTGCGGGCCAGCGGCGGCCGCCTGGACAGTAACAGGGTGGGATCTCCCAGCACGCTCCAGGACAAACCCCACACAGACCAGAGACTCAGACATGAACAGTGAAGTCAGAGAAACACGAGGAGGGAGCACAGCAGAGTCCTCTGAAATGCCGAGTGAGAGCATTCTGAGAGCATGGCTACAAGAGAGAACGTGACAAGCTCTCCACGTGTGTGCACTCAGTCGTGTCCGACTCTGTGACCCTGTAGACTGTAGCCCACCAGGCCCCTTTGTCCATGGGATTCTCCAGGCAGGAATACTGGAGCGGGTTGCCATGCCCTCCTCCAGGGCATCTTCCTGGCCCAGGGATCGAACCTGTGTCTCTTACATCTCCTGCACTGGCAAGCAGGTTCTTTACCACTAGCCCCCCCAGGAAGCCCTACAACTTCTCATCTCAAAAGCTCTGCAACTGTGTGTGGTGATCCTTTTACAATATATATACATTTTGTACATCTGAAACAAACGCTGTCAACTACACCTCAACAAAATAAAATGAAATCTCGGTATGTAAAAAACACTGCAAGCGAAGTCAAAAGACAAGCAAGAAACTGGAAAATACATGTAACACATTATACAGTTGAAGGCCTAGTTTCCTGTGTGTTTAAGAGCAACTAAACATAAGGAAAAAGATGAAGAAGCCCAAGAAAAGCGGGAGAAGAGCACGGTCAGTCCCCAGGCAGGGGCTGCAGCAGACCCCACTCCACAGGGCGACGGGAACCCAGAGCCAGCGTCGGGGCGCAGGGGCTGAGCCAGGAGGCTCTCCTGCTGCACTCCATGCTGAGAAACGGCTGTCCTCATGAGACAAGCAGTCTTCCTGAAAACACTGTGACTGTGAGCCCGAGACACTCCCCAGCTTTCCTCGTGAGGCCACGTGGCTGAACTGAGAGCAGAGGGGTGAACAGAAGGTAACCAACCTGAGAAAAGCCTTCCGTGAGGACGAGCATGTGCAAAGGCCCTGGGGCTGGAGACACACGGCTCACAGCTGGGGTGGTTGGGCGCCCGAGTGGCAGGAGAGCCCCGAAGGCAGGGTCAGCGGGGCCGGGTGGTGGACACCCGAGCTGTGTGGGTTTCACCCTGGGGGTAGCGATAAGCAAGGAAGGGCAAGATGGGAGAAAATACCTGCAAACAAGGCAACTGACAGGGCTTAATCTCCAAAATATAGAAGCAGCTCATACAACCCAACAACAAAGAAACAAACAACGCAATCGAAAAATGAACAGAAGACCTAAATAGACATTTCTCCAAAGATGACCTACAGATGGCCTATAGCACATAAAAAGATACTGAACATCACTAATTATTAGGGAAATGCAAATCAAAATTACAACGAAGTATTACCTCACATCAGTCAGAAGGCCACCATCAAAACATCTACAAATGATAAATGTTGGAGAGCGTGTGGAGAAAGGGCGTGTTGGTGGGAATGTGAATTGGCACTAATGTTATGGAGAACAGTATGGAGGTTCAGAAAACTAAAAAACAGAGTAACCATATGCTCCAAGCAATCCTACTCGAGAGAATGAATACAGACTAAACTCTAATTTGAAAAGGTACAAGCACCCCTATGTTCATAGCAGCAATATTCACAACAGCCAGGACATGGAAGCAACCTGCACATCCTCTGGCAGAGGAGTGGATAAAGAAGATGTAGCACATGTATAGGGTAGAATATTATTTGGCCATAAAAAGAATGATATCATGCCACTGGCAGCAACATGGATGGGCCTAGAGATCGTCACACTGACTGAAGGAAGTCAGACAGAGAAGGACAAATATCGTACAATGTCACCTACCTGTGGAGTCTAAAATACGACACAAGCAGACCTGTCCACGAAACAGAAGCAGGCTCACAGACACAGGCGACCATGCTGTGGTTGCCAAGAGGGAGCGGTGGGGAGGGGTGCGTGGGCGGCTGGGGTGAGCAGATGTGAGCTATCATGTATAGAACACATAACATACATGATACAGAGTGCTGCACTTAATAGGCCAGCAACTTTGGAAAACTCTTAGCAGTGGCCACAGGACTACCAACAGTTTTCAATCCAATCCCAAAGAAAGGCAATACCAAAGAATGTTCAAACTACCGCACAACTGCACTCATCTCACACACTAGCAAAGCAATGCTCAAAATTCTCCAAGCCAGGCTTCAACAGTACGTAAACCGTGAACTTCCAGATGTTCAAGCTGGGCTGAGAAAAGGCAGAGGAACCAGAGTTCAAATTGCCAACACCCACTGGATCATAGAAAAATCAAGAGAATTCCAGAAAAACATTCACTGACTATGCTAAAGCCTTTGTTTGACTGTGTGGATCACAAAAAACTGTGGGAAATTCTTCAGGAGATGAAAATACCAGACCACCTGACCTGCCTCCTGAGAAACCTGTATGCAGGTCAGGAAGCAACAGTTACAACCAGACATGGAACAATGGACTGGCTGCAAATTGGGAAAGGAGTACGTCAAGGCTGTATATTGTTACCCTGCTTATTTAACTTATACGCAGAGTACATCATGAGAAATGCCGGGCTGAATGAAGCAGAAGCTGAAATCAAGATTGCCAGGAGAAATATCAATAATCTCAGATATGCAGATGACACCACCCTTATGGCAGAATGTGAAGAACTAAAGAGCCTCTTGATGAAAGTGAAAGAGGAGGGAGGGGGGATCGGGATGGGGAACACATGTAAATCCATGGCTGATTCATGTTAATGTATGACAAAAACCACTACAATATTGTAAAGTAATTAGCCTCCAACTAATAAAAATAAATGGAAAAAAAAAAGAAAACGAAAGAGGAGAGTAAAAAAACTGGCTTATAACTCAACATTCAGAAAACTAAGATCATGGCATCTGGTCCCATCACTTCATGGCAAATAGATGGGGAAACAATGGAAACAGTGATAGATTTTCTTTTCTTGGGCTGAAAAATCACTGTGGATGGGAATGCAGCCATGAAATTAAAAGACACTTGCTCCTTGGAAGAAAATCTAAGACAAACCTAGACAGGATACTAAAAAGCAGAGACATTTCTTTGCCAACAAAGGCCTGTGGAGTCAAAGCTATGGTTTTTCCAGTAGTCACGTATGGATGTGAGAACTGGACCATAAAGAAAGCTGAGCACCAAAGAACTGATGCTTTTGAACTGTGGTGTTGGAGAAGACTCTTGAGAGTCCCTTGGAAGCAAGGAAATCAGACCAGTCCATCCTAAAGGAAATCAGCCCTGAATATTCACTGGAAGGACTGATGCTGAAGCTGAAACTCCAATACTTTGGCCACCTGATGCAAAGAGCTGACTCATTTGAAAAGATCCTGATGCTGAGAAAGATCGAGGGCAGGAGAAGGGGACGACAGAGGATGAGATGGTTGGATGGCATCACTGACTCAATGGACATGCATTTGAGCAAGCTCCAGGAGATGGTATAGGACTAGGAAGCCTGGTGTGCTGCAGTCCATGGGGTCACAAAAAGTCACAGGACTGAGCGACTAAACAACAACAAAGAATATACAGAACGGATAAACATGGTCCTATTGTACACAACAGAGAACTATGTTCAACAGCCTGTGATAAACCAATGAACAAGAATATTTTTAAAAAAGAATGTACATATGCATGTGTGTGTGCACGTGTGTGTGTCTATGTGTTGGAATGTAACTGAATCGGTTTGCCATACAGCAGAAATCAACACAAGGTTGTAAATGAACCATACTTCAGTAAAAGATATTGGAAAAAAATCATCACATCCATGTTAGAAGCTGAGACAAGTAATAACAGTAACAGTGAGAGAAGGAGCGTGGCCCTCCCGGCCGCCCGTGGAGAGGGCCCTGGGCGCTGCCTGGCAGGGGTGCGGCCGAGGGCACTGGTGGCCTGGGCGGTGGGGGCGGGCGGGGCTGAGAGGGCTGCCGGCCTGGAGCGTGGCGGGCGGGGAGAGGCGGGCAGCAAGCTCCAGAGCGAGCAGCTGCACCCTTCCAGGGCGTGAGCGCTTCTGCTTGTCAAAGGCACGGCGTCTGGACTCCAACACAGAGCAGGCCCTGAGCAGGCACGCAGGACGGGAGGGAGGCGGGTGCCAGCCCCACGCCGCAGGTTCGCGGAGGGATCAGGGAAGGGGACGAACGCGGAATAC